ATCCACCCACCCCTCCATCATCCATCCGCCTATCTATCATTCATGCATCCATCCATTTATCCATCCAACCACCCATCATCCATCCATCCACCCCTCCATCATCCATCCATCCACCCATCATCCATCCATTTGTCCATACATCTATCCACCCACCTATCTATCATTCATCCCTCCATTCATTCATTCATCCATCCATCCATCCACTCATCCAGGGTTATGGCTGGTTGTGTTAGTTGTGTTCCTCACGTATCCCAGTCTGAAGTTTCTGACGGTCCACTCGGGCGAGTCGGTCTCCGACAGCATCTCGACCGTAATCTCTCCGTACGCCACGGGCTCCTCAGTGAACGGCCAGTAGTGGTCACACTTCACCTGCACAGGAAGCACATGCTCTCATTAACATCTGCCCGTCTCTGTGTGATGTCACAGCCGTAACGGAGCGGTTGCCGTGGGAACTGACCCTCCTGCGCTCGTTACACTGGGTCAGCATGACGACGATGTGAGACTTCTGCTGCAGGACCATCTTCCAGAAATCGTTCCTGGTCTCGGGCAGCGGCCCCTGCGTGGCGATGAACTCGTGCGTAGAGTTATAACCCTGAACACACACCACCACACAAATGAGACACCCCATAACCTGTGAACAACTCTTCTCTAATCGCTGATACTGGCGAGCTACTCACAGGAATAAAGTTTGCATTGATGTAATCAGAGCCTTCATCGTTGTGCAGAGAGATCAGCTTCACTCGACTGAAATCATCTGTGACCAAACAAATATTCAGGATGAATATAATAATCACTAACTCTCCAGAGAAGCTGATCTTTAGTAATAACCTATATGTGACCCTGGAGCACAAAAGCAGTGTTAAGTCGCTGGGGTATATTTGTAGCAATAGCCAACAATACATTGTATGGGTAATAACAGAGCCCAAACTTAAATTCAATTAGGCTGCTATTTATTTTTAATAATCAACCCTCAAATTAAAAAAATTGTATGCAAACATATAAATTGCTCTCAATGCAGTTTTTAAATTAACTTCTAAATGATACAATTTCTATTTCTTGTTGAAATATAATCATTTACACAGTGGCTGTCATGACTTGTTTCATAAAATATTTATTTAAACACATTAAATAATTAAGATATCACTAACAGGTAAAGTAAAATATGAGTATATATAGTGATAGTCTAATATTTCGCGAAACTGAACTGAAAATTTTCGGTATGAATACATGTACCGTTACACCCCTATAAATTACCCTTAATACTAAAAACAGAAATATGAATAAAAACTAGTGAAAAAGAGCTCAGCAAACCATCCACTGGCATAACGCATAATCAAGCTTTCTTACACTCTCAAAAAATGTATTTTTATATATTTTTTGGAATAAATACATGTAAAAATCAGATGCTTTATACTTATAATAATTAAGGACATTATATTTAAAGACTATATATGTAATATCACACACTTTATTAATGTTTTTCCACTACATTTGTGCAGTTTTACTTTATACAGGATTTACAGTGTTTTTAAAAATTTCTATAAATAAACTACAAATATTTTTTAAATAGGTTTTTATAAATTACAACTTTTTATGTAAATTCACTTTAAAAAAGACCCACATTTCTAACTTTCATTCATGGAGATAACATGCCCAATGTGCCATGAAAATTGTTTCCAACTAATGGAAAACAAACACTTTTAAAATAAAAAATGACCAGATGGCTCTAGAGCATTACTCATCGCTCGTTTGTCACATTTATTAATCTTTATTTTAGTTTTAATCAATTCAACATCAAGTTAAACTGAAATAAAATAACATTTAAAATAAACTTTTCCATATTCATTTAAATAACGACATTTTTAATAGTTTTAGTTTAACTATTGATGTTTCCATCCCCCTATTTTTATACGCATTTTGGGATATCGCATAAAAAAACTGCTGGATGGAAACGCTAAGATGCACATAAATTCTAAAAATGTGCATAAAAACCTTAACTTTATACAGGATTTACAGTATTTTTAAACATTTCTATAAATAAACTACAAATATTTTTTAAATAGGTTTTTATAAATTACAACTTTTTATGTAAATTCCCTTTAAAAAAGACCCACATTTCTAACTTTCATTCATGGAGATAACATGCCCAATGTGCCATGAAAATTGTTTCCAACTAATGGAAAACAAACACTTTTAAAATAAAAAATGACCAGATGGCTCTAGAGCATTACTCATCGCTCGTTTGTCACATTTATTAATCTTTATTTTAGTTTTAATCAATTCAACATCAAGTTAAACTGAAATAAAATAACATTTAAAATAAACTTTTCCATATTCATTTAAATAACGACATTTTTAATAGTTTTAGTTTAACTATTGATGTTTCCATCCCCCTATTTTTATACGCATTTTGGGATATCGCATAAAAAAACTGCTGGATGGAAACGCTAAGATGCACATAAATTCTAAAAATGTGCATAAAAACCTTAAGCGCTCAACTAAGCAGGATAAATTTCTTATCCGGTAAGGAAACATGCGCATAAACTGCGATGGAAACACTTTTACCGAATAAATTCCTTAATGCGCATCAAAAAAGACATGTTATAATTAACTCCAAGAACTGCGTTCCCAAACAGCAGACTACGAAAATAAGATAAAATGACCGCTTTACGTCTGCGCGCTCTGAAGCTCGTAATTTATTGTATACACAAATTATTATATACAGTGCCTTCTACTATGCTGCAGCAAATAAAATTTTTCTTCGTGATGTTTAGCGCAAGTTAATCAGGAAGTGACGATTTTGTTCTCTTCAACTCCCTGGATGGAAACGGTGCTTTAGTCGCAAATGTTTATAATTCGTAACTTTGGATGGAAACATTGCTTATGATAACCCTGCGTTGAACTGTGAAAGTGGGCCAATCGGAACAGCGTTGCTATGACTACAGTGGGCGGGGCTTGGCTGGCCGGCCACTCACAGGGCAGGATGTTGGTGTAGCGGTTCTTGGGTCTGTTGACGGGCAGATCGGCCGCTTCATGAGACAGATCCAGACCGATGCTCTTCAGCTCCTGACAGAAGCACAAAGCAAACAGATCAATCGCACGCCTGACGCCGACAGACGAGTGTTCACGTGTTCTGCACCGAGTGTGTTTTACCTCGAACTGCAGCGAGAACTTGTACGCCGAATCTTTGCTCATGTCTTTGATGTAAGCATCGAAATCACTGAGCTGAACGGGACTGAAGACACACACATCGTCACATCACACAGAAACAAAATCAATACAGTCAACTCTAGGGATGTAACGATACTATCAATATTGAGATATCGCGATAGCAAAACTGTCTCGATATTATCGTGGTCACATGACGATATGAAACGTTTTTGGCACAGTATTTAGTTCAAACGAACGACACTTTTCAAAGCGAAGCGCACACTTCGTTCAGACGATCAGCTCGTGATCCGTTCACACTGAATGAATGCAGTCAACTCATTTATTTCACGTTTTTTGAGTTTAGCACGCGTTTCGGAACACAACGATCACCAGTTATACTTTATTTTCGCGGCAGATGATTACAGCGTTTCACTAGATTTATAGTGAGACGTGTTTTTGTAATCCTGTTTTCACTGAAGCTGGAGTTTTCCGTAAAAAAAATAAAAGCTTTAAGTGCTGTATACGAATTGCTGACAGCTAGCGGTTTAAATGCAGTCCAAATTCAAAATATCTCATTCAAGTGTAGAAATTATGAAAGAAGTATTTTAATTAATTTCCCTACTGTAGTGTAAAGCAAAAATAATATACCTATGAAATATTCATTTTCATTTATTTTACAGTGCAATTGTTATATGGCTACTGCCGTCATTGTTGTTATTGTTATTCTATTCTAATTCGTTTATCTTCCTAAAACACCAGTGTGAATGTAATTTAGACTGAGACAGTATATCCTATATTAATTTATATAATATATATTTTTAATAATAAATTATAATACATTATAGCCTTCCACATCACAGTAATCTCATGTTATAATTTTTATATACATTTAATACGTTTACATTTTTAAATTATAATCTTACATGCTTCTGTTTTGTATTGTATTAAATTTCTTTTTCTTTCTTTTTCTGTTTCTTTCTTTCTTTCTTTCTCTTTCTTTTTTCTTTTTTTCTTTCTTTCTCTCTTTCTTTCCTTCTTTGAGGTTCTCCATAACCTTCCATATTCGTCATTGTTGTTATTGTTATTCTATTCTAATTCGTTTATCTTCCTAAAACACCAGTGTGAATGTAATTTAGACTGAGACAGTAGATCACAAATAAAAAGAGGGTTAAGTCCGCTTTAAAGTTCAGGTACAAGTCAATTCACTGACTTTTTTCTGACTTAAGTTGCTTAGTTAAGAACAAGGGTTGGGGCTCTTAATTTTGAACTCTCAAAGTGCATTAGATAGAATTATTTAACTTCAAAATGTACAAAATGTAAATTTTTTCCCAATTATTCATTTGTGTCCCTGCAGCACAAAAGCAGTGTTAAGTCGCTGGGGTATATTTGTAGCAATAGCCAACAATACATTGTATGGGTCAAAATTATCATTAGGATATTAAGTAAAAAAATCATTAGGATATTAAGTAAAGATCATGTTCCATGAAGATATTTTGTAAATGTCCTACCGTAAATATATCAAAACTTAATTTATGATTAGTAATATGCATTGCTAAGAACTTAATTTGGACAACTTTAAAGTTGAGGTTCTCCATAACCTTCCATATTATGATTTTATGATTTATTAAATTGTAATAACTGTACATTTTTAAGTATAATTTTAAATACTTAATATATAAAATTTATATTTTAAAGATTTTTTATTTTATTATTTTATTTTATTTTATTATTTATTTTTCATAACTGTATTTTATGCAAATTATATATATATATAAATGTATTATTAATGCACTGTTAATGCATTTTCCAGTTCACTTCACTTACTGTATACATAATTTTAGTTTTTACATGAGCACAAACAGCGTAATGAGATTATTTTCTGTGGAGACCGACGGCTCAGCTCGTATCAAACCTGGAATATCTAACGGAAGAAGAAGAACCAAGCAAATCGGCTCAAGCCTCTCGAGTGAATATCTGCATTCAGTCCGACTCAGAATCGAAGCTCTGGAGCAAGCATGCAGCCGTGAGAGCGAGCGCCATGCGTTAGTGTCATGCGTCGAGACGCTGTTAAACACAGACAAGAGCACAGATGCAGATCCGGCCTCTGATCCGTTACCCATAATGCACTGCAGCTATGTGGAGTCTGTGTGTGTTTGTTTGTCTGTCCGTCGGCCGCCGGACGCCGCGCTGCTACTTACCACGGATTAATATAAAAGGCCAAAAGATAGTCAGTCCAAAGGCAGGATGGCAGAAGCGTGAGGAACGCAAAGAGACTCCTGCGCCTGAAGCCCACAGAAAGCAAAAGACATAAAAAAAGACCAAGGGCAAAAAGTTGGGGACAAAACATGGTGCTCCATTAGTAATAGTGACACACACAGATGAAGCAAATCGGCTCAAGCCTCTCGAGTGAAAATCTGCATTCAGTCCGACTCAGAATCGAAGCTCTGGAGCAAGCATGCAGCCGTGAGAGCGAGCGCCATGCGTTAGTGTCATGCGTCGAGACGCTGTTAAACACAGACAAGAGCACAGATGCAGATCCGGCCTCTGATCCGTTACCCATAATGCACTGCAGCTATGTGGAGTCTGTGTGTGTTTGTTTGTCTGTCCGTCGGCCGCCGGACGCCGCGCTGCTACTTACCACGGATTAATATAAAAGGCCAAAAGATAGTCAGTCCAAAGGCAGGATGGCAGAAGCGTGAGGAACGCAAAGAGACTCCTGCGCCTGAAGCCCACAGAAAGCAAAAGACATAAAAAAAGACCAAGGGCAAAAAGTTGGGGACAGTCTTTTTTTTTGTAAATATCGCAATATACATCGTATCGTGGACTTCATATCGCGATATTATATCGTGTATCGTGAGATTTTAATATCGTTGCATCCCTAGTCAGCTCACACCATCACATCAACGGACGGGTTTACCTGGTTAGTTTCCTCTTCTTCAGCGCCGTTTTGCTCCTGCGGGTGAAACACAGACAGACGTGTCGCTGAACTGAGATCAAACCTCATCAGAACACAACAAACTGCATCTCTGCTAATAAACACTGGTCTAATCCTACAAACTAAACATGCATTTCCAGGCCGACGGAGCTTCAGTGTCTGAAACCACAGATAATAACTCACACTCACTCATTCTGGAGCATTTCAAGCATTAATCAAGGGCTTTTATTAACTGTTCTACAGAAAAAATGTGTACGTTTTATTTATATATTAGTTTAGAATATATATAATATCTATAATATATATATATATTAGTGCTGTCAAACGATTAATCGCAATTAATCGCATCCAAAATAAAAGTTTTTGTTTACATAATATATGATTGTGTACTGTGTATTTATTATGTATATATATATATAAATACAAACACATGCATGTATATATTTAAGAAAAATATGTTATGTTTATATAATATATATATTGATATAAAATAAAAAA